TATATGACCTATCTGGCGATAAGAAAACACAGAAGAATATTAATAAAATCCCCTGAACTGTCTTGTTTTCTCCCCATCCCGTACTCACTAGAAATCCCAAAGCGGAATACTTACTCTATCTGTGTGACCAGGAGCCATAGACAACATTTTTCCCCTTTTCCAATCCCAAACACAAACTGCATTCTTTGAATCAAGTCCAACTGAAACCAAGCGCTGAATTATGTCCAAGAAGTCCAGGAAGGAATAAAAAGGCAAATAAATCAAAGATGAACCAAATTATAAATGGCAAATAAATTCTACTCATAGGTTTTATAAATATCAAAACTTACACATTTATATTTTATAGACCTCATAGAGAAAGGCTGTATATATTTCATCTTGTTAATATTTGCACACATGCATGGGTCTTCACATTATGAAAAAGAAGAGAAATTTCCATTTCTAACAGGATTGACAAAATATTCTAAACATGTCTCCTGCCAATAATTAAAAATACTAGATAAAATTGAAAATAATATTTTTAAATGCTTTGCTAGCTGTCAAAGAATTAAGAAATCTAAGAATAAAAACAAAGTGATTTCCAGTGGGAATCCTGGAGGGTAACAGAGTACCTATATCTATTTGACACTGAAGGCATCAGATGAATCCTGTTGCTCCTGATTTTTGTGCTATAGGCTCAATAGGACCAGGAGATAAAGTCTAGGGCCTAAGGTGGGGATTGGAATTATAGGCCTCTGACTAAAGCAGTGAACCCCTCAGAGTAAGGGACACTGAGAAATAACTTCTTTTTAAAGAAGGTGCAGCAATGCATGAAGGGGGAGGAAAAAAATCCTGAACATGTGTAACCACAAGCAGCCTTTGCATGGTTGTATGACCTAAATTCACATTAATTATGAATCCCTCAGGTGGAAATTTCATCCAGAGTGGTCCTAAGGGTTGGCTGTGTCTTTAAGCAACTTCAACAATGTTGCCCAGGCAAATATAAATTCTACATGAGGTACTGCAACTTCAATTCATCCCTCACAGAAACTCCTACAGGTAGCAACTCAATAAAAATAAGCTTAAAATGAAAAATAAAAATAAATCACCCCCCAAAACCACGAGGAAGTAAGAGACCATGAGTGAGAATCAGCAAGTCATAATACCAAAATCAGCCTTGCAAAAAACATCATATTTGGGGATTATCAGATAAACAATATAAAATAAGCTTAATGTGAGTAGAGAAATATAATGAAGGATTCAAAATATCTGCATATAAGCAAAGAATATGAGACTATAAAAGGTATCCAAGGAGATCTAAAGAAGCAAATAGAACCTCCAGAAATGAAAAATAAAGTAAATGATATTTAAAATTCCATGGAATAGTTAAATAGCAGATTAGAGGAAGATGAAAAGAGAGTTGAAAAGAGGAGACAGTGAGATGGAAAATATATGAGAGATTAAAAAACTTAAAAGATGGACTCCTAGCCAAGAAGGAGTATCAGGGTCTTAACTTTCCCCCCTGCCATAAACAACTGAAAACTGTATAAAATACATGAAAGTAAATGTTTTCAGATATTAGTAACAGGAACTGAAGTACTGTGAACCCTGAAAGAGGAGGCATCAAACAAGGTGAGTCCTGCAATCACCCCAGCTTTCATCTCAGGGGCAATTTCCAGACTATGTCACATAAAAGTGTAATCCAAATAGAGCCCAATAGCCTTGCTGATTTGAGAAGACAGAACCTGGAGTTAAGAGAGGCCAAGATGGCTAGAATTTGCAAAGCAGAGAAAGAGCTCCAGAAAATATGCAAATAGATCAGATTTGAGAACACCAATTTTTATATGGGTAGGGTAAAATCCATAGGCCATACAAAGAAATTCTAGAAAAAGGACAGTTACTGGAAAACCTAAGGCAAACAATTCTCAGAGATCACAAAGGGTTAGGAATCACTCAAATTCCCAAGAGCCATAACACAGATTATCTCTTTGAACTCACTGGGTATTCACTAGGAATATCAGAAGAGCATCACATCTTAGTAGGGACTTAAACCCAGCAGTCACAGAGGAAAAACTACTCTAGCCCTGCCCTACAAAAGCTTGAAAGCCAGCTTTTCACAAGGATCAAACTGATCCATAAGGAACTTAACTATCTGCCAGAATAATGTCCAAATGCTTCTCAAGGATACAATAAAATCCAGCATTCAAAACATAACATACGCAATGTCCAGCATTCATTTTAAAAAGTACTGGCATGTGAAGAAATACAAAAATGTGACCAAAAACCAGGGAAAAATCAGTCAATAAAAACAGACATAGGAATTACAAAGGTGATGGCTACAAGGTATTCTTCATATTACTCTTATGCAACTGGGAGTAAGGATAATTCAACAATTAAAATTTTGATAAAATCTTTTACCAAAGCAAAAAATGTTAGGTCTCTAAAAAAATTGAATACTAATACGTAATTTTAAATTCACACAAGCAACATCATTTTTGACCTTAACTATAATACATAATATATAACAAATTAGTGATAAACCAAACTAAACAAACTCTAGGCTCAAACCACTCATCTTTTAAATTGAGATTTGAATGGGTATCTGCATATGTCGAAACTCATAAAACAGTACACATTAAATATGTGCAATCCTTTTCATACCAATATATTTCAATAAAACTTTTTAGAAAAGAAAAATATCAGAAAAAATGTATACTTGTTTACTCAAGCAAACACAGGGTTAAAAGTTTTCCCCTAACACTACACCTATTGAATCCTGCTTCCAAGTCCTATAATACCTCTGTACTCTAAAACTT